AGCAAAGTCCCAAACAAGCAGCAAACCGCCTTCTGGAGGCAAAAGCATTTTCAAAAGGCTTGGCATGGGCAGGTCCACCAGCAGCTCCTAATCAGTTTGTTGTCCTTCATGCATGCATGCATGCATGCATGTGTTCTGCATGCATGCATGCATGCATTCTGCATTCATGCATGCATGCATGCATGCGTGCAGTGAGTCAATGAATGCAATGGTAAGTGCATGCGTGCACTATAGGTGCATGCAAACAGAAGTGCATGCATGCATGCACTGAGGGGAGCATGCATGCATGCAAACATGAGTGCATGCATGCATGCATGCATGCATGCGTGCATGCAGCAATGAGTGCTTAGAACCATGCAGCAATGATCGCATGCATGCAGTTTGCATTTATGCATGCATGCAACGTGCATGCATGCATGAGTGCATGCATGCATACAATGATGGGTGGACGCATGCGTTCATGCATGTTGCATGCACGCATGCATGCATGCAGTAATGCATGCGTGCATGCACTGATGCATGCATGCACTAATGTGTGCATGCACTGATGCATGCACGCACTGTTGCATGCATGCACTGTTGCATGCATGCACTGCATGCATGCATGCACTGTTGCATGCATGCGTGCATGCATGCATGCATGCATGCAGAGAATGCAGAGTCAGTTTTTGTGGGGGTTTGAACTTATCTGGAGGAATGCAGGAAGAAATACATTTTGATTAATTTGGTGTTTAAAGAAAAACGAAGAAGATTTATTTTAAATATTTCTTGGGGGAGGTTTATTAAATTTACTACAAAACAAAATTAAAAAATAGAGCAGCAGCAAAGCAGCAGCAAAAGAGAGGCAAGGGCCCCCCCCTGCTGCTGTGCTGGTGCTGCTGCTGCTGCTGTGGGGCGCGCAGCAGCAGCAGCTAGCTCAGTTGCCCAGGGCTTCAGCAGCAGCACCTGCTCTAGGGTTAGGGTTTAGGGTTTAGGGTTTAGGGTTTAGGGCTGCTGCAGCTTCTAGAAAGACAAATCGGGAGGCTCTTCTAAATTAGGGTCATCATCAGCAAGGGCCTCCCCATAGGGTTCAGCTGGGTCACCGGGGGGCCCCCCGGGGGCCCCCGGGGGCCCCTCGGGGGCCCCCTCGGGGGCCCCCTCTTCTGCTTGCAAAATGGAGAAGTCCACAGCTTCTCCTCTCTTTGCTTTTTCAAGAGCTGCTGTTAACTTCTTCACTCTTTCTTTCAACTTCGAAATTTGCTTCGACTCCACTTGCTTCGTCGACTGCAGCAGCAAAGGGTTTAGGGTTTAGGGTTTAGGGTTTGGGGTTTAGGAGCTGTGGCTCATGTTGGCTTTATGCTTCGGCAGGGCCTCTCAAGTAACGAAGCAGCATTCAAACTGAATTTTCAAGTTGACCTCTAGCCCACTCTTGCTGCTGCTGCTGCTGCTGCTGCTGCACCTGCAACAGCTACTCCTGCTGCTGCTGCTGCTCCTACTGCTGCTGCTGCTACTATACTGCAACTCCTGCCGCTGCTACTGCACTCCAACTCCTGCTGCTCCTGCTGCTGCTACTGGCCTGCAACTCCTGCTGCTGCTGCTGCTGCACTACAACTGCTGCTGCTGCAACTGCTGCTGCTGCGACTGCTGCTGCTGCTGCACTACAACTGCTGCTGCTGCTGCCGCTGCTGCCGCTGCTGCTGCTGCTGCACTACAACTCGCGCTGCTGCTGCTGCTGCACTACAACTGCTGCTGCTGCTGCCGCTGCTGCCGCTGCTGCTGCTGCCGCACTACAACTCGCGCTGCCGCTGCTGCTGCACTACAACTGCTGCTGCTGCTGCTGCTGCTGCAGTTACCTCGTTGGTGATGAGTTTGACGCGGGCGGCGTACATGAGGGAAGTGACGGTTTCTTCGACGTTGTAGTCCGCGGGGCTGATGTTGACAAACATCAGAGTCTTCGCAGTGCCGCCCAGCGAGTCGCTCATTAGCTGCGTGAGTTTGTGGTTGCGGTACGGAATGAAGCTCTCCCCTGCAGCAGCAGCAGCAGCAGCAGCGGCAGCAGCAGCAGCAGGGGGAGGGGGAAGCGCAGGGGTAGCGGCAGGGAAGGCAGCGGCAGGTGTTGCAGCAGCAGGGAAAGCAGCGGCAGACGTAGCAGAGAAAATGGCAGCGGCAGCAGCAGAAGCAGCAGCAGAAGCAGCAGCAGAAGCAGCAAAGGCCGTGACGGTGAATGGAAAATTCGCAATAAGTAGACTGCAGCGCGAGTTAGGAGAGGCAAAAGAAATATTTTGGATTCCCAATTGAAAGGAATTTGGCGTTTGGGATTTATTTGAAACGATCTAAACATTAATTCAAAAGTTTATTTATTTTCTTGGTCTGGGAGCCGCTGAAATTCAAGTTTTGTGGAGTTGCATTTCTCCAAGTTGGAAACGGAAAAAAAGAGAACATACGAACGGTTTCCGCTAATTTAGGGTTTATTTATTCTTTCAGTTGCAGTTTTTGAATTGTTTACCGCTCGAAAGAGCCGAAATAACATCTCCCAAGGCAGTTAAGCTCTTGTTGATTTCCTTGGCTTCGACGAGTCTTTCCTTGGTGACACCTGCGCATACACCCGAACTCGGGGCGGCGATCCGGGGCTTAAATGTGCGAACTCGAGCTCCAAAAAAGCAAAATAAGTAAATAAATAAAAGCTAAATCCATTTTTGAAGTTAATTTCGCGAAAAACGGGCAAATAACGCCGCTTTTCGAGCTGTTCAAGTGCAGCGCACCGCTCTTGGACACCCGCTCGGACCCCGCGAGGTCTATGAGGGAAAGCTTGCCAAATGTGACCTTTTCCGCAATCAAATCTTCAATTCGAACAACAATTGCAAATATTAAATGAGATCTGGAGCTTTCTGCGTTCATGGCGGTGCCGCTGACGTGGCGGGAAGCAAGGCCGAACTCGAAAATCTTTTCAAGAGATTCTGCTGATGTCACTTTCTTCATTGTTATTCCCTGAATTGTCACTATTCCGTTGCTGTCTTTTTTAATGTCTAAAGACGGAGGATTCTTCTTCACTTCGGGGGGGGCCAGCAGGTCCACCAGCTGTAGCAGCAGCGCGCAACAGCAGCAGCAGCAGCCCACCCAGCTTGTGCGCTGCAGCAGCAGCAGCTGCACCAGCAGCAGCAGCGTGCGGCCTGCTTAACGGCAAACAGCCGCAGCAGCAGCAGCAGCGTGCCACGCGCCCGGAAGCAGGCAGCAGCAGCAGCAGCAGCAGCAGCAGCAGCAGCATGCGAGGTGCTTGGAAGCAAACAGCAGCAGCAGCAAAGAACCCCAAATACGAAGCAGCAGAGATGCGCATGGAATACGTAAGCAGCAGCAGCAGCAGCTGCTGCTTCTGCTGCTGCAGCAGCACAGACTAAGCAGCAGAACTGCGCCGCTTCAAACCAGAGCTTTTCTTTGCTGCCAGCAAATGAAATTTTTAATAAAAAGAAAAAAACAGAAATCGAAAAACCAAAAACCAAAAAGAAAACAACAGACAAAAAGCCCCTTTTCAGGATTTAAGAAGACCAACTAAAAAGACACTTTTGTTTATTTCCACCCAGACTTGAATTCAGCAACAATTTGCATGCATGCATGCACGCATGCATGCATGCATGCATGCTTTTTTGCATGCATTTTTGTCCGTGTGCATGCGTCCAGCCTTGCATTTAGTATAAGTGCATTTTAGATCTGCAAAAATATATACATATTTATATTTATATTTATATTCATTTTTTATTTATTTCCAAACACTCACACGCACTCAGGTGTATGTACAGCTGGATCTGCACAGCCAAACTCGAAATGGACTCGAGAAAAAAAGACATTTTGGAAAATAAATACCATTTAATGAAAAACAAATAAATATATATTATTTATAAATAATTGTGAAATGTATTTGCTGCCTAACGACAGAAGGAAGCAGCAAAAAGGAAATCAAAAGCCCCCTTTTGCCGGCTCGCATGCAACCCGCATGCAAGTCAGCAGCAGCAGCACCAGCAGCAGCAGCAGCAGCAGCAGCAGCAGTGTGGGTTTGGAACAAGCTGCAGAAAATAGATATTTTTTTCGTGTAAAAGACCAAATATATATTTTCTTTTGTTTTATTTACCTGGTTGTTGTAGAGCTCGCACATGTAGCTGTGGGTTTCTTTTTTGTATTTATTTTCATCCAAATGATCTATTAATTCAAATAAACCTCTGATGGCTCTCGGGGCTATTCCGGGGAAGTTCGCGTTGCCCTGAATGGTGAAGGTTTTGCCCGAGCCCGTTTGCCCGTACGCGAAGATGCAGCTGCGCAGCAAATTTAATTCATTTCTTTTTTTTTTCCTTTTTTCTTTTTCTTTTTTTTTTCCTTTAATTGTCAAATAACCCCGCATTCGGAACGCAAATAAAAGACGCAAAGGATGAGCCAAAAAGAACTGCAGCAGCAGCAGCAGCAGCAGCAGCTGCTGCTGCTGCTGCTCCTGCTGCTGCTGCAGGTAAAAAGGCTGCCGCGTATGCTTAGGGGGACTTAAGCAGCAATATAGGCAAAGCAGCAGCTCAATAAGTGCGCATGCAAATAATGAACATTTTTATTTTGTGTATTCACAAATTTGTTTGTGTTTATATAAAAACATTATTTATTTATTTATTATTTATTTATTTGTTTATTTATTTATTTATATACTTATTTATTTATTTACTTATTTATTAAACATTTATAGCACATGTTTGCTTCCATCTAAACATCTACAAATAAATTATTGTCTTTCTTGCTGCACTTTTAGCTGCAGCAAAAACTTTTAATTTTGCTGCTTTGCTGCTGCTGTCTCAGTTGCTGTTCTAGCAACTTTTGAGCTGCTTCTAATCGCCCCTTCTGGTATTTTCCAGGGTTTAGGGTTTAGGGTTTAGAGTTTAGGGTTTAGGGTTGAGGTTGAGGGTTCAGGGTTTAGGGAAGTCTAGAACCAACTAAAAGGCGTTGGATTCCCGTTTAGTTGGTTCGAGACTTCGCTAAACCCTAAACCCTAAACCCTAGACGGTAAACCCTAAACGCTGAACCCTAAATCCTGGACCCTGAACCCTCGACCATGAATCCAAAACCCTAAGCCTTAAACCCTAAACCCTAAACCCTTAACCCTAAACCGTAGAAGCTCACACGTTGAATCCGTCGATGACAGACTGAATGAGCCTCTCAGTGTCTTCATAAACCTCTTCCTGAGGGCAGCAGCAGCAGCAGCAGCAACAGCACCATCAGCAGCAGCAGCAGCGACAACAGCAACGGCAGCAGCAAAAGCAGCAGCAACAACAACGGCAGCAATAGCAACAGCAGCAGCAGCCCCAGCAGCAGCACGAACAGCAATAGCCCCAGCAGCAGATGCCCCACCACTACGACTAGCAGCAGCAGCAGCAGCAGCAGCAGCAGCGGCAGCAGCAGCAGCAGCAGCAAAGAAGCAGGCCTACTTGGGTGCTGGTTCCCGAAAAGACTCGATCATAAGTAAATTCTTTTTCTCCCTAATTGAAAATAAATGCATGCAAACAAATAAATCTTTTTTGCAATTCTAATTTACCAAAAATCTTATTAATTAAGCACTTAATTGATTATAAATGTATTTTAGTAAAAACAAAACCCTAAACCCTAACCGTAAACCCTAAATCCTAAATCCTAAGCCCTAAGCCCTAAACCCGAAACCCCAAACCCCAAACCCCAAACCGCAAACCCCAAACCCTAACCCTAAACACTAGCCCTGAACCCCGACCCCCAAACCCTAACCCGAAACCCTAAACCCTAAACCCTAAACCCTCGCGGACTTTGTTGGTGGTGACTTTGACGGAGTATTCGTCGAGGGCCTGGACACTTTCCAAAGACCCTTTTTCTTTTTCGTATTTTGCAAAAGGCCGGATTCGACAGTAAACCCTAATTTTGCCTTTCATATCCTCTATTTCGTTGTAATACTTCTTCCGCAACTTCTTCTCCGCCTGTGCAAACCCTAAACCCTAAACCCCAAACCCTAAACCCTAAACCCTAAACCCTAAACCCTAAACCCTCCACAACCGACCCGCAAGTCGCCCGGTTAACGCTGGGTCCAAAACCCTGCACTTATGCCCCGCGCCTTGCGCCAACCCACAGCTAAGCCCTAAACCCTAAACCCTAAACCCTAAACCCTAAACCCTGAACCCTAGACCCGGAACTCGCAAGTCGCGGGAGAAACTCTGAATCCTAAACCCTTAGCCCTATGCCCTGCGCTCCAAACCGCCCCACCCCTTAAGCCCTAAACCCTAAACCCTAAACCCTAAACCCTAAACCCTAAACCCTAGTACCTGGTAGGAGGTTTCGAGTTCTTTGATTTGCGTGATTTGCTGCGCCGTCATTTGCCGCAGCTGCTGCAGTTCTGCTGCCATGCTTTGCACATCTTCAACTTGCTTCTTCAATTCCTGAATTCAAACAATTCCAACTTCGCTACTGCTGCTGCTGCTGTTGCTGCTGCTGCTGCTGCTGCAGCTGTTGTGGCAGTTGCTGCCGCTGCTACTGCTGTTGCTGCTGCTGCTGTTGCTATTGCTGTGCTGCCTTTAATTATATATTTATATCCAAAAAGATTTAAAACGTCTTTTGGGGTTTTATTATTTCAAGTTTTTATCTTTTATCCTTTTTCTTCTTTTTGTCTTTTACTTTGCCATTGTTTCTTATTTCATTTTCTGTGTCTTATTAATTTTACTACCTTTTAGGGTTTAGGTTTCACTGCTAACCTAAACCCTAAACCCTAAACCCTAAGCCCTAAACCCTGAAACCAATACTGCAGACCTTGCACGCTAAACCCTAAACCCTAAACCCTATACTCTCCTGCAGAGTTCTTTGAACCAGCCTGTGGCTCTGCGCAAGCGGGAACCCCCATGCGCTAAGCCCAAACCCTAAACCCTAAACCCTAAACCCTAAACCCTCGGCCTTACCGTCATTTCTTTGCTGACTTCGTCGAATTTCTTTTGCAAATCTTTTAATTCATTTTTCGTTCTTTCTGCTTCTGCTTCTGCTTTATCTGCTCTTTCGCTTTGCTTCTGCATTTGCGCTTCAAACTTCTTCGCGTCCGCCACCGCGCCCTGTGCAAACCCTAAGCCCTAAGCCCTAAACCGTAAACCCTAAACCCTAAGCTTTAAGCCCTGGACCGTAAACCCTGAACCCTGAACCCTAAACCCTAAACCCTAGGCCCTAGGCCCTAGGCTGCGCGCGGCGTGCTTCAGCTCGGGGACCAGCTGCGCCTTGCCTTCGGGGTTTAGGGTTTAGGGTTTAGGGTTTGGCTCATGCTTGAATTGAATATATCTTCTTTGAAATCAAAATTAAAATGAAATTAGAAAAAGAAATATTTAGTGTAAATTGAAATATCTTTGGGCCCCACAAAATTGCATTTGAATGCATTTATAAACAAAGTTGGGTTTATTGCAAATGTTTGTTGATTTGATAATAAATATGCTTTTATAAATTTTTAATTAAATTCGCATTTATCTTTTATTTACGTTTTTAATTTCAGGTGTATTGTGAAAATGCACATTTGCATGCATACACTCAGGTGTACATACAGCTCACTGCACTTGCACAGATATATTTGGCGTTCTTTTAAACGTAATTATTCATTTTTATTTTCGCATTTATGTAGATCTATTTAAACATTTATATATACATTCATCCTTGAATTTACTCAGATCTAGTTGCGCATTTTAAAATATAAATATTCATTATAGCATATAATGTATATATTATATATATAGATATATAGATATACACAATGTATACATTTATTTGTATTTCAAATTGTACGTGTAATTCTACCAAATATTTGTACACATTTACAAATATATGGGAAGTATATATTACATCATATTTATATTCATATTCCTTTAAATATAATAATATATAATGCCGAAGTTATACTCAAATATATTTACACACACATTTAAAAGTATATATAATAGTGTATTTGAAATACACATTTGTGCGTAAATGTATATAAATGTATTTGCCTTATTCACAGACGCGTACACCCAAATGTGTGCAAATATTTGTGAAGTGGAAAAAGAAGAATTGCAAAAGTAATTTTGCATTTTGCGGGCATTTAGCGCGACAAAGAAACAAAACATTGCAAGTAAAGTAATTATTAAAAAAGAAAAGTACTAATTTGCTTTTAAACTGCGAAAATTGAGAACAGTTTCGAAGTGGATTTTTCACTTTGCGCAAAGTCGCAAGCGGCTGGGGTGTACAGACAGCTGCTGGCCCAGGTGTACAGGCAGCTGCTGGCCGAGGTGTACAGACAGCTGCTGGCCGCGGCCAACTCACTTTGGAACTTTTGTTCAGTTCTTGTTCCAGCTGCCTCAGTTCTCTATTTTTGTTGGCTTCTGCTTCTTTTAATTTTAATTCTAATTGTTTTATTTGCTGCGCCTGCTCTGCTGCTGCAGCAGCAGCACCGGGGGCCCCCCGCGGGCCCCCCTGGTGCTGCTCTAGCCGTTTCTGCAGCGTTTGCAGCTGCTGCTCCAGCTGCAGCAAAAACAAAACAATTATTATTATTATTATTGCTATTATTATTATTATTGCTATTATTATTATTATTGCTATTATTACCATTATTATTATTATTGCTATTATTATTATTATTATTGCTATTATTGTTATTATTGCCATTATTATTATTATTATTGCTATTATTATTATTATTATTATTATTATTATTATTATTACTGCTATTTTCATTATAATTGTTATTATAATAATAATCATTATTAGTACTGCTATTATCAGCCACTATTATCACCATTATTATTATCATTATTATCATTATTTTTATTATTATCATTAGTATTATTTTTTGTTTGTTTACTATTACTCCCGTAATATTTCCTTTTTACTGTTATTTGTATATGATTTGTTTATTTGTTTATTTTTTTGTTTGTTTACTTTACTTATTCGTTTATTTATTTATTATTTTGATTTAGTTTAATTTAATTTAATTCAATTAATTTATTTTTTATGAGGCCTTGGCACTGCCTTGAGGTGCGCCACCTTTGAAAGCATTTATTTCTCAAATATAAATTGAATTTAATTAAAAAGTTCCAAAAATAAAAATAAATCAATTTAAAAATAAAAAATAAAAAATATTTAAATTGCTTCTTTAAAAATGGATTTAATTGTTTTTCAAAGCAACAGCTCGCTCAAGGCTGGCTGGCCTTCCCAGTTGCTGTTAGCCCAGCCTAGGATTAGGGTTTAGGGTTTAGGGTTTGGGATTTAGGGTTTAGGGTTTGGGGTTTAGGGTTTTTACTTGTCTGTTCTTCTCTTTTGCCTGCTGCAGCATTTGAGCAGCTGCTCCTCCACCAGCGCCAGCAGCAGGTTTTCCCCCTGGCGTGCCTGCAAACCCTAAACCCTAAACCCTAAACC